CACATAGCAAAATTAATCTTGCTAACATTTTTGAATTTTGCCCATGACAAATTACAATATGACATATCATAGATAGTTCCTCATATGCAAGGGAGACATATTACAATGTTAATGTATTCTGTTACAAATTTCAAATTTAAGCTTCCTACACACTGTTTTGGATTTGTTCAAAAGCCTAATAGTACTTGTCTCAAACAGTGTAGTGGATGCAAGCATAAGAACCCATTCACATTTTATCTATACAAGAATTACATGATGTCATGATTGTGTAAATCCCAATGTATTCCCAGTGTTGCACTTTGGTGACACACTGGCATTTGGTAGGTTTTGCTGAGCTCCTCAGCAAGAATTTTAACCAACACCCTAGAAGTAATCCTTCTAGTGAAATGAATTTTGTCCATCTTTGGACCTTGCATAGTTGCAAGTGTAAGATGCAGGAGATCCAGAGAAATTTATGCCTCTATCACAAGCCATTACCTCCATCTCAAACAACAATAAACAAAACCATAGCATTTGTCTTAGTAAAGAGATTAACTTAAAAGAAACCTTGTGGAAGGCAATTAAGACTCCCACAACAGTTTGAGAAGTAATAATGATCTCCAGTTAGACACTTACTAGTAGTTAATAACCATCTGGTATGGCCAAGGCCTGACTAAGTACTAGCTACCAGAAAATGTCTAATTAAGAGGTGACTTACACTATTAAAGTCTTAATTTATTTAACAGTGCAAAGTAAAAACATACTATTTATCTTTATTGACTACAAAAGTAGAATTATGTTGCCATTGACATTCCAATAGGCCTTCTGCAAGCATTTAAGAGGCCACCACTAACCAAAAAGAAAGCAATATTTCACAGCCAAGATTACATTAGGTTTACAATTAAGCAAAAAGTGGCTGGGATTTAGTTCTTTCAACGTATCTTGCTAGTCAGCAACAACAGGATGACTATGTCTTTAAATCACCTAAGATGATCATTACATCTTAATTCACTCAAGAACAACCAGCACTAATTTTAAAAAGATCCAAACTCAAAAGCACAGAAAGTCAGAAAGCGTTCAGTAATTTACTAGGAAAATACTAGGCTGCTCATCTCAAAGACCGAAAAAGAGCTCAAGACATTCTGTCTAGGGAGAAGGGGGAGGAAAAACGAAACCCTCAAGATATTTTTGTGAAGCAAAACTCCAAATGCATGCAGATAGCATAAATTTAAGTATAAACTTAATTCTGATTACAAGTTCATATATTTTTTTAAGATAATGAAAACATCACGATGGAAAACAAAACTACCTTAACAGAATGATTTCAAAGTAATAACATCAGCCCACACCATAACCTGAAGTGTAAAATACTTGCTTCTTACAAAAGAGTACACTCAACCTAACCAATTTCTTCCCATCTTAAACCACTGTGGCTATTCAGTGCAAATAATAGTTAACTGGGGCTATAATGAAAATGCTAAAAATAAGTTTTCTCCAACAAACATGATCCCTAGCATTCAGTATTTTAATTCTCTGAAAAAGTTAAAAACAGATTAATATTAGACTTTTAGGGAAACGCAGCATTTACAGGAGGGAAGAAGCTACTTTCGTGGCTGACTGCTCCAGCTTATCAGGGCAAACAAAAGATATATGAATGTAACCATGAAAAGGATGTTACAACAAAAATGATCATGGGTTGGTCAGAAACTATGCCGTATAGCAAAGTGAAAATAAGCATGCAATAAAGTTTAGACTAGCCAGAGTCTTTCCAGCATTGAAATGCTAGAAAGAGATAACCTTCATAGCTAAGGTCTTGTCTTTATGAAAACTTAAAGTCAGGAAACCCTTTCTTTCTTTAAATTTCTCTGATCAACTAATGGAGTCCTCATATTAACTCCATAGTTGGGAGTAGAAATCACCACTTAGATTTAAAGGCTTTTCCTTTCAGTAGAGCAACAAGTTCTCAGACTTTTGTAGAAGACACTCATTAAGATTCATTACTTAAAATTAAGCACCCAGTGTAGGCCAGAGGGAATTGGAAATTTTTCTTCAAGGTTCAAAAGTAGGTTTCAGATCCTGTAATAATCAGCAGAACCAACCAAAAAAAGAATCACGAGGAAAAACAACAATAAAGCCTGTCATGCCAGCTATGTTGTCTTCAGACTTCTTTGGTAGCTTCTCTCATGATTTAGAGCTCTGCCCAGCAAATTCCCAAAAGAGCCCTTTGAATAAAGTCCTGTGCACCATAACAACGTATGGGAGGCACACACTACTGCTGTTAATCAGGCTTCTGCGGTTCAAAGCCAAATAGTTGCACATACTAAAGAGGCAAGCATGCTGTAACGATGCATGGTAATTTAAATGCACCAACATGTAAATACCAGCATATGGAAAGTTTTATTCCTTCACTGCAGTGATGTGCTTCATGGAACATGCATGGCATTAGCAGGAGTCTGCCACTTCACAAGGGACATGTGAAGACCCTCAAGAGAGATGAAAGAAGCAGTTCCAAACGAGCCCCCAGCAAGACCCCAGGAATCTGTACTGATATCTAAAGGTCCTCACCAACTTTACTGTATAGTTCAATCAGTGGAGACCTGAAGCTAGGTGATGAAAAGCTGCCCTGACCTGCTAATACATGAAAATAAGTGTTTGATAAAAGCACACAAAACGTTGGCAAAGAAGCAGCTCATAAAACAAAGCTCTTTAATGAACTGTGTCTATATGTAAATATAGTTGAAAAATTCCTTTCCCTTCTTCCCCAATCCTAGAAAGTTATTTGCTCTCAAAATTGCAAGTTTTTGATGAAGTGTTACAAATCTAAATTCTTCCAGAGTCAGTTTGGAAGGGTCATACAGCTGGAAGGAATAGGCAGGAAGAAATATAAGATGATATCCTAAGATTTGAGGATGTTTTGAGTTAATGCCGAGCCCATGCAAATTACACTAATTCTGATCAGTCCTTACTTGCACTTTCCAGGATTTCAATGCAAAATGAGGAGCAAATACTTAAGGCCTTCGAATAGCTTCTTCCTTAAAGGAAAATGCAACCCACCTACATATAAATGCTGAAATAGTCAATGGCAAGATGTGCAAACTTTCAAAACCAGCATTCCCAAACAATGAAACACCCTTTAAAAGGACAAATAAATTCAGACAAAAGAGGCTGAATAGGAAGTTTTGATCTTCCCTGCTGACAAAGTCTATACAAAGAGTTGAAAGGTTTTCCAGGGGATAGGAGATGCATATCTTGTTTCTAGAAAAAGAGAGTATAATTCTAACCCTTGTAAAAAAAAAAAAAAAGAAACACAACCAAAAACAAAGACAAAGAAAAACACACTATCTTGCCACTACTTCCAAACTGTAGTGCTATCAGTACATGTATGGTCATGACCATACACAACAAAACTATTGAGTAGAGAAGCTCCAAAGTGACCAAGCTATTCATCACAGCCTGCAGCTACAGTGCTACTTATCTGCAAGTTATTTGGGAGAAAAAAACTTGTACTTTTTCTCCTTTACACTTCATATGATTTAATGAAAGGATCTGAAGATATTAACTGGAAACAAATGAAAGGACTTGAATGAAAGTGTACCCTAACCTGAGCTATGCCATGACAGGGCTCCTTTCCTATGTAGTGCAGTATTTCAGCTGGTATACAAGCAAGATTTACAGCGGCATTTGACAACGCAAAGCTTTGGAAACGGATCACTGTAAACACAGAGCTTCCCTTCAAGTCCCAAAGCCCTCCCCCTGCCCCAAAACACATTACAGCTGAAGTTATAATATGCTCAATAAATGTGTTTAATGCTTGGGCTCAACTCTACTGAAAAATTGTGAGGCCTTCAAATGGGAAGAAAAGAAACAAAGCTCTTGTCTGCATGCTGTCTTATAAGCTAACTGTCCTACTGCTATCTCTAAGTAAGTCTCACTGCAAATTGACTTAACCCAACAGATTCTGAGAGTGAAGAGAAGAGAGAAGATAGATCCATCAGCTGGGAAATGTTTCAGCTGGCATTACTATTTTAATTACTGTCACTATCTTCTTCCAGTATGCTGACAAGCATTTTTAGCCATTATCACCAGCATTAATGGACTGATTCATTACTCCCCTGTTTAACTCCCATCTGTTACTCAAAAGCTTATCCCTATTTATTTCACTTTCCTCTTTTAGAAGAGAGTCTTTGATACTGTGCACACTCAGTATCCACACAAGATGCTGGTTTTGCTCCTACTGAAGGTGATGAGAATTTAATAGGAAAATAATTTAACTAAGGTCACATATAGTAACTTCTACTAAAGTTAACATGCAACTGAGCGCAACGCTGGCTTTTCAGCCAGCGCTGGCTGGCTGAGGCCAACCTGTGGGAGCATTTCAACTACTTCTGGCCTCAAGGTTTCAAAACGAAGAGGTAAGAGAGAAGTCCTACCTTAAGCACCTACTGCGTATTTTTCCCCATAGTAATAACACAAGAAAAGCTGTGGATCAGACCACACATTGAGCTAACTTAGTATCCCATCTTAGCCAGCAGCTTACAGGTAAGGTGGTGTAAATTTTGTGGCAACAGCTTAACTACAAGCAGTTTTGTACAGTATGAATTATATGAACACTTGACAAGATTTCTTGGCACTTCTTTCATTGAGAGTGAAGATTAGAGGGGTCACAGGCACACTTTCAAAGACTTAACCTTAAGCCATGTGAAGTTTCCAAATGACTTTAACATACTGTGTGTCAAGACAAACACTAAGCTTAAGAAAGTAGGACATTAATGAGCTAGCAGTGGCCAGTGGTGGCTCTTTACAAATAAGAGGCAAAATCTACTATCCTAAAAATCAAGTACATAAGTTTGTGCTGAAGCATTTTAACTTGAATTGAGAATAGGATAAGAGGCTGCACTAAGTTACCACAGCTCAGCAGATGCATACTGGCTTGTTAAACTACAGTAACTCAGCCTGTCACAGCCCTTAGTCTCTCAAGCTTCTTTTGAAATGCTACAGAAATAATGCAGTAAGGCAGGTACCTCACCCCCTGTATCCCAAGAAGGTATCTTCTCTGGTCGAAGGGTACTTCACCACCTCTGTTCCTTCATTCTTTTTCTCAGTAGGCCTCTTCCCATAATTTAATTCACTTCTTCCAAGGTTAGAGTAGATCAGAATGCTGCAAATCAGCAAGGAGCAGTATTGAGAGCAAATCAGCAAGGAGCAGTATTGAGAGCAAATCAGCAAGGAGCAGTATTGAGAGCAAATCAGCAAGGAGCAGTATTGAGAGCACGTTCACAAAGGAATCTGCACTTGTCCTGCATCACTGATGTATCACACGCTAACTAGATAGTGTTTTTATTCCACCTCCGCAATGTACTTTCACCACCATTTGCACAGATTCACTTGATGACAATATTTTCCTATGTCTTTGAATTCTCCCTAATTACTAGTTTATCTTCTATAGCTGGGACTTGAACAAACAAAAAGTTACACACAAATTTTTAATATTTACTCAGACACATGCTTAAAGTCAACTCGTCTACCTTCCTTCTTCCCCTTATGCTAATTCCCACAATGACATGAGACAATTCTACCCCTCAAAAAATTAGGCCAGCACAAAACACTAATGATCCCTCTGATAAAGTCCACTTCCAAATCAAGCAGGAAGCTGTAATGCCCACAAAGAGACTCAATAATGCCCTCAAGTATGCAGTATTTCAAGTATTAGGTCCTTATGGAGATAAGGATGCAAGTATACCTATATTTCCACTGCAAAGAAAGAGTATGGATATCCCAAGAGTGTATACATTTTTCTTCTGTGTGCTTTCTTGTTGCCCCATCAAATAAAAACCTACACTGCTTCATTTTCATATAGATGGCCTGTGGAAAAACACAGCTACAATTATGCTATTAATGTGAAGGATTAAGTACTATGGTAAGAATACACCAAGTCACCTAACTTAGTTTCAAAGCCTAACCATGCTAATACTGCCACAAACTTTAAAATACATTTATATAGTTTCTAAAGTTAATATTTTATTAAATGGAAATTCCATTATGTGGCTAGAAAATGGGCCATTTTTCAATACACTAATGCCATCCTAATTGTTCAAATTAAAAATGACATGCCAGAGTGTTCACTGGCTTCTGCTCTTTCTAATCATTTAAGATGTCAGAGTTCAGACAATCTCTTCAGTTGGAAAGAAGAAATACATCAATAGCAATAAGCATTATATTCAACTCCACAAAAGAGAAAAGCATCAACCTACAGCTTTTCATAATATATTACAACAGGTGCACGATTATTAAATTCAGCTGCAATGTTCAAGAATTCTCTCTGCAGAGAAGCACAAAAAAGACTTTTTTCTGACTTACTACAGCTAAATAAGTCTATACTGTAGAATGAAAAAACAGTTTTCTGCCATAGCACCAATTACCTTTATTAAGATTTCTCTAAATTTTCAGTGCTAGGGTCCATCCGAGACTACTGCTAATTAAACAGGCAGTTTTTGGAATCAGCGTCTACAAACAAGCTAGAAGGGCAGCAACACTAATAATCTCCACTTGCCAAGTAGATGTGCTACGCTAAGGAAATAGCATGTGTAACATTGTGGGGCAGAAACCCTCTTAACTTGCACCAAAGTGTAAATCTTTTTTTAAAGTTGTATCATTTGATCTAAGCCATCTTTTGCTTCCAAAAGCTAACAGTTTAGGTCAGGACTAGCTTCCTCTGCCAAATTTCTTTCAAGAACACTGTACTCACTGTTGCTTATGTGACCCCAGACCTGTAAAGGCAGGCATGACTGCAAGAAAAGGAAAAAAATATAAAGGTAAAGTAAGCAGCCTTCAAAGAATTCTGTATGCGTGATAGGATTAGCATGGGAAAGCTAATAATACCTGCAAAAGGCCTAGAAAATGCAGTTGGCAAAGCATTTAGTATGATTTTATAAGTTTTCACAAGAGGCAGTCAGAATCAAAATGAAAGGAAAAAAGAACTAACAATCAAAGCAATACAAGACTGCTGGCTTTCAAACCTGTGCTACGCAAATCAAATCCTACTGCATTCACTGCTTAAAGTACAGGCTCTTACTCTTATCGGCATTTTCAAGACCAAGTCTTTCCCTGCCACAAGGAACAGAATGCTAGAATTGATAGAAAATCTAATAGTTGTGAGAAACCTTTTACAACACTGCACAAAAAAAGCCAACTTAAAAAGATTTTATGCAACATGATGTATAGGTAGAGCATGTTATTTAGGAAGGTGAGACATCGCCTCATATTAATGGTGACAGAATTCACAGGAGGCAAAAGCTAGCTTTCCTTCAGACCAACATTTATTGGGCAGATGCAAGAGCCCAGTGACATCAAGCACCACCAGTGACAGTATGGAATTGATGTTCTCCTGGCTAGAGCAGAAAAGGTCACCTGCACAGGACAGCATTATACAAACTACAGCAATATTTCCATAGGGGGAATGGATGCTTTTAAAATCTAGGTCTTCACCAAAACACACGAGGAGCCTGATTCCATCTCCACGCGTTTGACTGAACAAGACATGCTCGTAATCCCTGTGCATTTTTCCCTAGAAGCAGCAAGAGACTTTCTGCAGCCACTTGGCCAGGAACAGAGTGAAACATTCTTTTTTTCTTTAAATAGAAGAACTTTCAGAAGAATAAAAATTAAATATTCCAGACATTTAGAAGAGGTAGCTAAATTTTAAGTCTACACGCAATAGTGCTGTAGATGGGGAGCCATAAGACTTATATGATGTGTAACAGGCGAGGGGGGGAACAACGCACACTCAACAGCAAAGTCAAAATGCCCAGACACTTACTATTCACTTTAATTTCTCTCAGATGCATTGTAAACCAGACATTCCTTTTTCCTCAATTTAAAAATATAAACAATCTATTTTCTAATAATTTCTGTTGTTCTTGCAAGAAATCCCCTGAAGACAGTAGTATGATGGAGGAGAGCACGTACTCTGGATAGGATATAATTCCCTATATGAGAGGGATTACTAAGTCTTGTAAGAAGTGTCCAGGAATCATCTTGCAATTATTCTGTTGTTACAGAAAATATATATTTTTAGGAAGGAACTAAGACAGGACCAAAACATTGGTCTAGTCATTTTCAACAGAACTTTTTACTAGCAAAAAAGACAGATTATACAGGTCAGACAATTCACCGAGTTATCATGTCCACAAGAAATACATATTCCTAATGTTTAATTCTCTAAAAAAGCAATTGAAAATGCTCAAAAATGCATTTTTAAACTGAAATCTCCCAAGCTACCAAACTTGTAGTGTTAGTAAGCAACTGTTAATATGTTGTTATATAATAATTGCTAATAAATAAGTTTTTGAAGTGCATGCATTAAAAATAGAATCAGCATTTTCCTGGCAGCTTGCCACAAACATAACAATTATTTTGTTTTTGCAGTAGCACTGCCACTGGCTGACAAGCTGGTAGCAATTCAATTGAAAAGTTATTCTGGCTTAAGTTTGTTTCCTTCCCAACATTAATTGAAGGTGGTTTGCATTACTCGGCTTTAATGCAATAAAAGCAAGACTGCTGTCACTTAACTATAAATAAGAGTACATCATCTATTGGGTATTACTGAAGAGCTGAACTATAAATATGATTTGTAGGTATGCACAACAAAAATTCTACAACATTTAATTTTGTAGCATCTTACGTCCTACAAAAGCCCTTAACCATAGCAGCAGGTTCGCCATAGACTAAGTTTGAGGTGTAGACAGCAGCCTCGCAGGGAAACCTGCAAGGTAAAAAAACCCCACCCACCCACCTACCTATGCCATCATTTCTACTTCCAAATGCTGTCTTTCATTGCATCATTTAGAACTGAAAGTTCACTTACCAACAAGAAAGCAATGCAGAAAAGAATCCTCCTGTACATGTTTTATCCAACAAACAGAAGAGCTGAAGGCAGAGTTCGGAAAGTTCCTCATACACGTAAGTCAACATCTATTCTCATTTAAAAAATCACAACAATAACACAAGCCTACAAATCCTCAAATAAGAACAATCTGAGAACCTTGCAGTATTCTGGAGAATGCCCTAGAAGCTGGAAGATACAGGAAGGTGCTGCCATTCTGTTACTGGACAGGTCAATATGGGAAAAGGCAAAAGAACCATTTGTCACATACATGCCTCAGTCCTAGTATCTTCTAGTGTCTTAATGCAGATCTTCATGGCTACTGAAAACTACAAAGAAGTTAAGCATTAACTCCCCACCTAGCCTTTCAGAGAGAGCAATGCAAGTCTTCATGGCCATACAAATGAACTGTCTTTGAAAAACACATACATCCCTCTCTGTAACTATTTCATTCTGGAAAGCCTTCTAGCAAACGTTAAAGTGAGCTGTAGGCAAACTAAAGAACAAATTATTAAACCTAACCTGAGTGCAAAAAGTTTAACATGCTGTTAAGTACAATATGTTGTTCTTCCAAACTGGTCATCTCAAAATATTAAAGGTGTAGATACTGGTATACTGCAGCTGAATGGTTCACTGGATAAATGGCAAACCAGGAGCACAACACAGTAAAATCATTTTCAAGGCAATGTTAAAGTTAGATTACAGAGCTAAGACCTTTTCATCATCTTTCATCTTTGCTTAAAACCCTGTTTTAGCAGTTGTTGCTACAGTAAGTGGAGAAAAGATAAAACATTTTATCTGCAATAGAAAGAAGTAATCTGCACATAATTCAATTAGGTGCTTCCATTAGATATACATCAAATTATCCTTCCCTTGAAAGTACAGAATAAACATTTGCTGGCCCTTGGTCTGCTTATCATATAGAAGCACATATAAAGCACCATATAAGCAAGTTACAATGCGAAGTTACAGAAAAGAAAAACCTAGATCACTATACCTTTCTGAGGGGGAAGAACAGACCATACTAGTGGAGGCCACCAATTTAACATCAATATAAAACTGTAAGAACAGTTCACATTAAAAACATATAGGAGAGAAAACCTCAGAACAATCATTAAGAGGACACCAAGAGGTAGCATTTAGGCACATAGCTTGGTTCTATTAGCTAATAACATGAACAAAATACACATTACCTAAAATATACCTGGAACTACATACAGAAAAGCATACATTGCCTGCAA